TATGGGGCGCACACACTTAAACACAACAGAACAACATTCACATATGGGGAGGTGGTGGCAACGGGCAGGAAAATTGCATTGGCATCATTATGCCATATGACTCATCTTGCATGGAATTTCAATTATTTTTAAACAAAAAAAATTAAAAATAACAATATCCAACCTCCTCGTAAATCCCCCCCTCTTCCATAAAATCGAAATGAAAACAAAAGTACACCACACGTTTCAATTGCAAGCCATATATGAAGGTACGAAGGAGTGAGGGTAATAAATACAATGTAACCGCAGGTGTCAATGAGTATATTTTGACATCACCTCCAGAGGGAAGGGAAGGGTGGAGGATGGGGTATTTTAGAAAACTGATGGCATCAAAACACTTTCAATTTTATGCATAAAATTTCACGAAAATGCCACAAGAAGAATGATGATGATGGTTAGTTTTTTCGTATACCCACACCCACCTTGAGACCAACGTCGAAACACATCCAGCCGTATATTTGGGCCCCATAATAAATTGCGTATTTCTTGTAATTCTCGCGCATCTTTGGCCGTTAATGCATTACTTCTGATTGCATCCGCTGCTGCTGCTGCCGAGGAAGTTAAGCCAGCACTCCCACTTGTAGTCGCCTGATGATGATGCTGCTGCTGTTGTTGTTGTAACTGCTGCTGGTGCAATTCTGCCTCTGCCGCTGCACTTTGAGCTGCTGTAGAGGCACTTTTCGTATGTTCGCCCATGACCAATCACTCAAAAGTGTTTATATTAACAAAATATTTAATAAATCTCTGTTGTTCTATTATATTTTCTTTGCTTTTCTTCACTTTCTTTCTGTGCTTTTTAAACAATTTTCTTTTTTCCTTCACTTCACTGCTGCCAGAAACACTGTCAGAACATTACTCTGCTTGTTTGATTTTGCACACGACTATTTTATTGCTTCTAAGCTTAAATATTAATAACAATTTAATTGTATTAAGTAAAGCTGATGCCAAATTATATGGCAAAAAGCAATTTTTCAACTGATGTTCTTGTTAATAATAGTTTTTTTTTCTTGTATTTATTTTGCCCGTAAATAATAAGTGTAAGGGATGGCTAGATCGACTATGGCCAGCAAGTAAAGAATGTTGATGGTGAGTTGAGTAATCGATTTTGGTGTTATCGACTTTTTGATGCATTAATGGTAGAGGCTAGAGTAAAGCATTTAGAAAATTTATGAAAGTACGGCTTACAAAACATGTTTTTCTTCCGCTTTAAATAATAAATTTAACGAAACACTTTCCTATTTAACATCAATGTAAATAAATTCTTATATTGCATTATTATCAAGCCTTTGTGGGGGAAAATGCACTTGTCAAATTCCTGTTAGTGGACAATGCAACGTTAAGTATATGCAGTAAGTCAGTTGAATTTATTCTTATAATATGTTATTGCGGATAGTATCGTATTTAACCCGATTATTGTTGCGATAGTCTACGCAAACGTATCCACTGACTTGGCGCCAAAATTAGGCGTAGTAACATTTCCGGTTGAGTGTGACCTAAACATAAAAACAGATCAGATCTTCAGTTGGTTTTAATTTAAAATTAATATAATTTAACATATTTTTATAGAATGTGCTGAATCAAAAAATATATCTGCTTGCGAAAATTCTGAATTGTACACTTGTGGTGAGGACAAACTATAGGTAATTGGATGCGTAACAGGCGACAGTCATTGAATAGCCGTTGGATACAAAATTCAGAGGCGAACAAATCCATTACTTATTTACTTATAAGAACACATCAACAGATTTCCAACATCAACATTTCAATCAAAACAAATGAACATGGAGTGAAGGACCACACACACGCAATACTTGAGGTAGGTTATGATCCATTACACCAATATTATGTATTAACATTACTATGTGAAAATGTACGAACAAACATTGGAATACAGAGCCTGATGTGTTCGGATAAGAATTTCAGTCAAGTCAGAAAATTGGATATTCAAGTTAGAAAATTGACCTACTAAATCAAGGGGCTCATATTTAAAATTATAAAAATACGATGCACATTGGTGTAAGCTAATATCAATATCATATTAATGATACTCAGTAGTTTCCTAAAAAGTTCATTGGTATGGCTTGAATAATTTTTATGGAATAATTCATATGGAGTTGTTATTCCTTTTGTAGCACCTCGAAAAATACATTCTAGACCCCACATTCATAATCAGGATAAAATTACAGCGTAAGATAAAAAACTGCAACAAAGTCAAACGCCATAATTTTTACAGTTTTTTAAATTTTAGAATAAGTTTAGATTTGTTCGAATCGGTCACCTTTGGCACGAATTATGACCTTCAAACGGCCAATTAAACTGTCACACGCTGTCCGAATTTTGCTCTGCGGTATTTTGGCCCATTCCCGGCGAAGCACTTGCTTGAGGTGATCGAAACTTTGGTATTTTTTAGTGCCAACCTTACTTTCCAAAATACTCTAGACACAATAGTCCAACGGATTGGTATCTGGAGATTTTAGTGGCCATTGTGCGCTGGAAATGAAGCAACGAACCTCATTTTGTAACCATTCTTGGGTGGCGCGTGCTGAGGTGCTGAGTCCTGTTGGAATGTCCAAGGTCTGCGGCCAAAATGTTTGCGTGCCCGTGGCTTTAATACACCCTGCAGAATATTTTCGCGATAATATTTGGCATTTATTCTGATGCTACGGTCGATTAATACCAGCAGAGAGCGACCATCGGCTGTTATGGTGGCCCACACCATCACCATTGCCGGCGCTTGAGTTCTGGTGGCCAACCGAAGGTGCACTTTTTAAGCTGACTTCTTTGGCAAGTAAACACGATCATTTTGTTTGTTTACAAACTTCTGAACAACGAATTTTTTCTCATCGGAGAGAGAGAGAGAGAAAACCAAATTCGGCAGTTCACCACTTTCGGCCAAGCGAAGCAACTCTTTAGCTCTTTTGAGTCTATTGTCTTTCTGTTGCGGTGTAAATTCTTGTACTTTTATGAATTTCAATGACTTTACCCGAACTCATTTTTCAATATTCGCCGAATGGAATATTGCGATATGTTCAGCTCACAAGATCAAGTCTCTTCTTTACTTTTCGAACCATTTGCTGCTGATGTCGCTGTTCCGTCCCTCTTCCGTACACGGTAACGAGCGATGGTACGAGACACAAAAGATTTATTCACATTTTAATGCTGGAGTGGTCTAACGATAGCCACTTGTGGTTTTCCAGCCAAATATAAAGAAATCGCACTATCACAGTTTGAAATCCATCACATATAACTCTTTTTCTGGAAAATTCTCAACAAAATGCTTTTGTAAGCTTGTAATCAATAGAATTAGCTGTCACTGGAATAATTTTAACAGCTGTCGGACGAGTGGCTTAGAAATGACAGTAGTCTAAAGTTGGTTGCAGTTTTTTTCATCTCACCCTGTAGAAAATCGCGATTTTATGGACCCTCAAAAAATTCTAAAAATCCCCATTAATAGCTTTTTAGAAGATATGTTTTAAATTCTCTACCTTATCATCCCAAAAAATATTCTTCAAGAAATATTTTTAGATTTCTCCATTAATATTATTATAGAACGTACGAACACAAAAATATTTTAAAGAAAAAATATAACAAATATTATTATGCATAATTTTTATATTTTAAAGTATTAATGATTACCCTGCAGGGAAATAAATTGGTTTAAAACTAATTTAAAATTAGTTTAAAAAAAAACTACAACTAGTTTGTTTTTTGATTTATTTCCTTTACGCCAACTAACTATTTTAACATGGGGATGAGCTAGGCAGTGGACAATTGTCCATTCCTGCATTACTTTGAAACTAAATATAAACTAGTTGCTTTTAAACTAACTATAAACCAATTACTTTTAAGCCAATTTTTAGTCAGTTGAAAAATATGTTAAAAAGTTCAAAAAGATTTTTTTTATTTTTTTATTTATTTTTTTTATTTATTTTTTTTTTTGTTTTGCTAATCAAATTCTTTATTTTCTATTTGGCTGCACTATTTTTCTAAGCATATGTACTTGTGTATTAAGGTTAGCAGCACTAGCTTGTATTATTGTACGTGGCATTTATATAGAAGTATTTTTGGAAATGTATTATGCGAATTATTGCAAAGTAGTTTGATATAACCAATCATCTTTGCTTTTTAGGGCTGCTTTTTTCTCTAGAGAACTTATATGTGTTTTGTTTTTGCATTTTATTTTCGTTTAGGCGTTTGAAGTGGTTGATATCCAGATGACTTTTCAACCAATTTGAAGTTAGTTGTAGAATAATGCATTTGTAACTAACGATTTTCTCAACTGGTTGAAAAATGCCCCGCTGGTAAGTTAGTTAGTAAATGCATTATTCTACAACTAACTTCAAATTAGTTGAAAAGTCATCTGAATATCAACCAGTAGTGGTTACTTTGCTTTTTGATCTCCAGATGACTTTTCAACTAATTTGTAGTTAGTTGTAGAATAATGCATTTATAACTAACGATTTTCTCAACTAGTTGAAAAAAGTCTTGCAGGGTATAGTCTTAAAGGTCACCCAATCTATAGGCCATGGTCTCATAAAAATATTCTTACAAATCCACAATTTATCATTATAGCAAAATATTCCTAAAAATTCCAATCTTCCAAAATATTCTTTAAAACTTCACAAATTATATATTTTCTTTAAAGTCCACAATTGAAGACTTTATGGTCTCTCAAAAAATATTTACAATTACTAAACTCTCCACCCCCAACCAACCTGGCCATGCCATTGAGAACAGGTGAGTCACATGTGAGTACGATGAGTGAAAAGAGTAATTGTTTACTGTTAACACAATATACCCATTGAATGAGAGTAGAGAATTTGGCTAACCGTTATTTTGATACGATGATCAATGCAAGACCACACACCAGAGTTACAGAGAATAATTCTATTGGAGAGTGAGAGTGTTAATTTTTTTTGTATCGTATAGCAGCAGTGGGACTCAGTTGGCTTGCTTAAAAGTAGCTCCACTTGTATTTACTTCAGACAGTTGTGAATAAAACTTGAAACCGTGAAGTCGTGAAAAGTCGCTCCGTCAAACGGTAAAACGTGCGTAACGAACGAAAAGTGGAAAAAAAGGAGAAATAAATTCATTGAGATTTTTGTGACAAAGAAATATATGAAATGAAACATCATTAGTAAAACACACATACACACACACGCGCAACTAAAATTGCACAAAGAGAAGAAGATTCTACGAGAAAATAAATGTAAGAAAAAAAGCGAAAAAATCACAACTGAATGATAAAATAAAAACAAAACAAAAAATAATGTGCTAAGAGATCTTAATGAAAGATATTGGTTGATATACCAAATGATAAGTTCGTGAAAATTTTTAATTTTTTCAATAGTTTCCGTTTTAAAAGTTTTTTTGCTGTCAATTTTTGATATTGTGTAATTAATTTCAACCACATTGTGGGTAGGTATCTTATGTACTTACATTGGGATTTTGAACTGCGATTTGTTATGAATTTTAATATTCCAACGACCTTTAAGCCAAGCATTTGTTATATTATAATAATGGAAAAACAACAACAACAATCACATGTTTGAACAGCAGCAAAAGCAAATTGTTATTATATTGATCGTAAATGCTATGTTAATCAAATGAAAAAAAAAAAAAAAAATAATTTACCTGTTTTAACGAGGCTGGTTCTTATAAGTGTTGAAAAAATAAAAATTGCGAAAAAGTGAATGATGAAATATATATAATAAAAATTCAAAATTATTTCGAACCTTATAAAAGGGGTCACTTCTTAAAAAGTTTAAAGGCAGTATGTGTAAATATTGGGCTAAAAATGTGTAAAAAAAGGAACTAAAAAATTTATTGTAAGCAACCTCTATAAAAATAGCATTTCTTTATGCGTTCGAGTTCCGCAAAAAAGTGGAATTTGGTTAAAATGACACGTGCAAGTAAATATAACTTTTTAAACAAGGGATGTGTTTTATTATTCAATATTTTATAACCATTTGTTAAAATTTTTGAGGCATGTTGGTTGATAACTCGGAAAGTCCAGTAAATGAAAACGAATTGGCAATACAATTTACTGAGAGTTTGCAAATTATTACTGAGCAAATTTAAACAATATCAATCATGCCAAGGTAGATCTAACAGGTAACCGCATCGGCGAATTGCTACAACAAAGCAACTTTTGTGGTACCCTCAAATGTCAAAATTGGCATCTAAGGCGAAAAATATATATTCGCCATGACATTTAAAGTTTGCGGCAAATTTGTTTCAACTAATCCAAGGTAGATCTACAAGGTAGTTGCATCAGCCCAGCTGATGGCACCTTTAAATGTCAAAACAAGATGTTGTAATGTTGAATTCGCCCTAAATCAATGCAACACAAAAACAAAGTTTGTTTATGCCTTCTTCACTAAAAGCATTTTTTTCTGACCTGATTACCAGTAAAAAAATTAAATTAAAAGAAAAAGATTTTGTTTTTGGGTATTATGTTGTTGGCTATTGGCCAAATTATTAAGTTAAAATTATTCCAGTAACAGCTCATTAAATTGTTTGCAAGCGTACAAATGTATTTTGGTGAGAATTTTCCAGAAAAAAAGTTATTCGTGATGGAATTCAAGCGTGGTAGTGTGATTTCTTTATATTTGGCTGGAAACCCACAAGTGGCCATGGTTAGATCACTCCTGCATTTAAATGTGAATAAATCTTCTGTGTCTCGTACCATCGCCCGTTACCGTGATACTGGTAGCGTAGCACGACCCGGGTCAAGAAAGTGGACGGAAGATAACAGCAACATCAGCAGATTTGGTTCGAAAAGTAAAAAAACGACTTGATCGATACTCGCGTCGCAGTGGCCGAAAAATGGCTCGTGAGCTGAACAGATCGCATTATTCCATTCGGCAAATATTGAAAAATGAGCTCGGGGCAAAGCCATTGAAACTCCAAAAAGTACAAGAACTTACACCGCACCAGAAAGAAAATAGACTGAAAAGAGCTAAAGAGTTGCTTCGCTTGGCCGAAAGTGGTGAACTGCCGAAATTTGGTTTTCTCCGATGAGAAATCATTCGTTGTCCAGCAGTTTCTAAACAAACAAAATGATAGTGTTTACTTGCCAAGAAGGTCGGCTGAAAATGTACACCTTCGGTTGGCCACCAGAACTCAAGCCATAACAGCCGATGGCCGCTCTTATTAATCGAACGTGGCATCAGAATAAATGCCGAATATTATCGCCAAAATATTCTAGAGGGTGTATTAAATCCTTGGGCACGCAAACATTTTGGCCGCAGACCTTGGACATTCCAACAGGACTCAGCACCTCAGTACGCGCCACCCAAGAATAGGTACAAAATGAGGTTCCTCGCTTCATTTCCAATTCACAATAGCCACCAAAATCATCGAATAACAATCCCTTGGACTATTGTGTCTTGAGTATTTTGAAAAGCAAGGTTGGCACTAAACAAATACCAAAGTATCGATCACCTCAAGCAAGCGCTTCGCCGGAAATAGGCCAAAATGCCGCTGAGCAACATTCGGACAGCGTGTGATGGTTTCATTGGCCATTTGAAGGCCATAATTCGTGCCACAGGTGACCAATACGAACAAATCTAAACTTATTCTTAAATTTGATGCTATTTCCGACATATTTTGCTTTCATTTAATAAAATTAAAAAAAAATATATAAAAATTATGGCGTTTGACTTTGTTGAAATTTTTTTTATCTCACCCTGCATAAACAGTATTTTTCCAAATGGTGGAGTGTATTAAAAGTTCGGCCCGTCCTTAGCTTTTTTTTACTTGTTCCCAGTCTACTTTTGGTTTCCATGCCCTTTTCTGAAATACATACCAGGATTTTCCCAATTTTCATACCGATTTCCAAAGTATTGAAATAGACTGGCGTAAATTGATACAGAATGCAAAAAAAAAACACCTGTATAGCAGTTCATGACGTTTGTTAATTTTTTCGCATCGTTGCTTGTGAACAAGTTTTTTTGTTTTGTTTTCAACTTGGCTTTTATATTCGAAATATGTAGAGCAGATATTGAACAAAAACCTACAATTAAATAAATTCAGATTTTAGATGAAATTAGACAAAACCAATTCTAATTAACTTTTTTTTTGCTACTAACAACAACAACGAAAAATCAAATTTGAAAAAAAAAAATAAATAAATTAAACAAAAACGTTGAAAAAAAACAAAAACGTAAATAAAATAAAACAAGTTTCGACCGACCAATGCAGGCGTAGGCGGAGCCATTATGTGGAACTTTTGTGAAATGAAGCCACCAATTTTTTACCGGATGTTTAATCAATAACAGAGTAGTACATGGTTGACTTTACTTATTACGTATGCCGTCTCCGGCTGTTCCTCTGCTCCCTACGCCTCCATAAATTGTGTTCTAACAAGTTGTGTTGTTGGCAACAGAGCATTGCTTCGTTGCTTCTTTTTACCAATTTGTAGTGAAGTCTTCAAACCTGCCAGAGATCGCGAGAGTCATTCATACGTTTGGTCCCAGGTGTTTTTTGTTTTGTTTTTGGGATGGCATGCGTTGTGGAATATATTAACTCAAACCTGTGACGCATTAAGCATACAAATTACCTTTAATTAGTGATTGAGCAGGAGAACACCGACACTGACAGAGGGAGAGAGGGGAGCACCAAGAATGAAACAGACGAAAAAAGTCCCTTTTGATAATATCCAAAATAGCAACAACAACAGGAAAGTGCATTCATAAACACAACAAAACGACACAATGTTTTGTTGTTATCAAACCGGTTGGGTATTTGTGGTAAGGGTTTGGTAATTAACCCATTGTGTGTGGTGTTTGATAGTTTGATTTTTTTGTTAGTTGGAATATGGCTCGTGACAGCCATAAAGATAATTTTGAGTTAAAATTTTAATATATTTTTAAATTAAAAAAAAAATAAGAAGACATTTATTGATAATATTAGGAGATAGGCCACAAATCGTGGAAGCCTTAAATATGAAGTAAACAATTTTGGGAAAAAAGAAAGTAGAATTTTAAATATTGAAAATGTTTAAGAAAGCCTAGTTATTGATTTGAAAAATCCCCCAATTTAATATTCGAGAACTTAGGAGCCCTTAAACAAGCAATGTCTTCTACTCCAATGTAGAGACAGAAACTCTATCAGCCCATTCATGAATATCTCCGCATTTCTCCCAGGGAGTAATTTCTCCAATCTTAAAAAATTGGAGGGAAATAATTTGTGAATATGGCAATTCTAATGGATAATTTTCTTAAAACAAAACCAGTCAAGAAAGTCCTAAAGTCGGGCGGGCCCTATTTTATGATACCCTACACCACTTTGCTAATTTAGTAGAGCTCCACATAACCATTAAAAGTTTTTATGGGAGAATTAAATCGTACAAGCTATGATTATAATTAAAATTTAAAGTTCAAAGGACTAAATATGCCGAAGCATTTGTATCTTTTAAATTCTGACTTGAATTGCCCATTTGTTGCAAAATTAATTTGAAATCGGATAAAGATATATATGGGAGCTATATCCAAATCTGAACCGATCTCGATAAAATTTAGCAAATGTATTTCTGAGCTGTATTTGATATATTTCCCCAAATATTGTTGTTACAGACTGTATATTACGGTTGCGGAGGACAAAAATAACAAATCGGATGAACAATATATATGGGAGCTATAGCTATATCTGAACCGATCTCGATCAAATTTGGCATACTTATTTTCAGGCCTAATTTGGTTGTATGTGCAAAATTCCATACTATTCGGGCTGATATTACATGTTTGGTGCACAATAAAAGTCAAATCGGACGAAGATATATATGGGAGCTATATCTAAATTTTGACCGAGTATCTCCAATTACAATAGGGTTCGTCCTTGGGCCAAACAAATGTTGTTTGGAAAATTTCATCTCAATCGGATAATAAATGCGACCTGCATTTTGTTCACAAGAATACATGGACAGACGGACTGACATGCATAAATCAACTCAGAAAGTTATTCTATGGAGATCCTCAAAAGTAACTATGGGTCTATCTCGCTTCCTTCTCCATGTTACAAACAAATGCACAAATACATAATACCCTTACCACTATGTGGTGTAAAGTATAAACACTGTAAATTGCAAGAATGTAAGAGTATTTACTACGTTAACCGATTTCCCCATATACCACCATAGTATGGAGGATATATTAAGTTTATCATTCCGTTTGTAACACCTCTAAATATACATTGTGGACCCAACAAGGTATCTGTATTCTTGATCAGCATAAATTTCCATGTCGATTTAGTGATGTCCGTCCGTCTGTCTGTCCGCCTATGGAAATCACTCTAGCTTCCGAACGAAATAAAGTAGGTTGATAACATTTTGCTCAGATATTTTTTAGGTTTGCCAGACTTTTGGAATACCCCGTTATGGTATATCCCCCATAGATTTAAAGTTTTTTTTTTTTGCA